GGAAAACGCCTTTGGTACTCTTCAACAGCAGCACGTGCATTGCCACCGCAAAATCCATACACAAAATGCATATCACAATACTCGACGTGTGAAAACACAAAAGGCATTTCAGCAACTCATCACACAACTAATTTACCACCCATTCACGACCCCACTGCAACGTAATCTGTAGGCAGCGCATGAGCTTACGCTAGTGTGACTCGCGGCACTCAAGGACAAACAGATAAGGGTCTCAGCTGACAGGTACGTATAGTGCGTGGACCTGCAAGAAGACCACACTTTTCTCGGGCCATTATCTCCGTAACCGTTCAACTTTGGACATAGGTGTTTTGGGTTATATCGGCATACTTTAACATAAGGAACACCCTCCCGAAGTTTGGCACATTCCTCCTGGGACACCCTGTATAGGCTGAAGTGAAACTACAGTATCCGATTTCACTATGAACACACAGAAAACAAATCACACTCTGTATCTCAGAAACAATGCAACTGTCTGTTCACGACCCTAGAAAGGGCAATAATCTCTTACAGCTATAACGGAAGGTCTTGGCACTGAAGAAGGGACCCCTCTAGCTTTCTCTTGAATATCCATGCTTTCATTCTTCTGTCCTTTAGTCAAAAGATTAAAAATTCTGAAGGATATAACAAAGATGTGAAACTTGCCAGCAGAAGACCAAATTATTTTATTGCTTCCATCTGTTTTTATAATGCAGAACAACTCTGTGAAGAAATGGGAAACCATTTTTGCAGTACGCATCAAAATTAAAAGAAAAAATTGAAAATAGAGTATAACTCTTTGTATAAAATCTTCTGATATAATATGCGACGCTATGCTCTTTGCTGATACAAAGTTAATTCCATCCATTTATCATAAAAATTGAGTTAGATACAGCATTTTAAACACAATGCTTAAAATTGTTTAAGCGCCCTAACAGGAACGGACAGTGAAACACAGAGTAGCAACAGGCATTTAAACGCACACCAGCAGCGGTCATTTAAATAAACTCCGGCCAGCTCAAGCTTACCACCATTTCAGAAGTCTGGCATTTAAATGTTAAACTTTTTCAGCCTGTTTGATGAATGTAAGTTCAATCACTGCTTTGACTGCTCCCTGGTGCAAGGCCCCATACGTGTGGAGTTTCAGTAATTGAATATTCTCTTAGCTCTTGCAGATGGTTTGTGTTGTGTTTGATTTATATACCCCTTCTTGAAACTGGCATAGGTGTCCAGGGATAGGGAGTAGCTCTATCTATTGGACCCAACTGAGTAGGTTTTACCTGAGGATGGGGACAGACTCTGGTCTCTGAAACCTTGTGTTTTGAAAAATAAACAGAATGATGGATAATAACACATAATACGTACTTGACTTGTAGCAATGTACCCATTGTCACAAACTTTTAGACCCTACTCCCAATCCCTCTGTACTATAGCACACATAAAGTCTTCAATTCACAAGTTCAGTCTTCTTCAAATACAAACTCCCTGTGGCTGTCTCCCAGAACTCAATACTCTGTCACTCACTGCCACCGTCACTTCTAATTCCGATTCAATCTCTTGTGTGCTTCTGCTGCTACTATTTCTTTTTCTACTGCCATCAACTGAACTCTGCTCACTTATATAGCTGAGGGACAGACATTGAACAACAGTAAGCACATATCATATGACCCCTACCCACCTCACTGCACACTTGCAAGGACACGCAGGAAACACGTCATGTGACAGCCACTTACTGTTGATGTGTGATGCCACTGCTCCTGCACCAGCTTGCTCTACTATTGCATGCATGTATCATGTTTGCAGAGGCGTTGCCCAATAATGGGCTGCATAACCATGCTGTTTCCACTGCTGCGCATAACAGGCAACACAGAAACCACAGCCTCCTCTGTTGTTGAGTAACCTAGTGACTGACTGTTTATCAAGAGTTTGTCTTCGCAGTAACTTGTTTACCATTCATTGCCTAGCAATGGGTGTACATGTAACAATATATAATAGTCTTTAAATATATGTGTACATGACTTGTGATAACTGACACCACTAATTATATGAAGGGTCTTCTTTTGCACTTTAAAAATTTCATAACTTTCACTGTCCCCACCCCATAATATATTGTCATACCTCAGACATGAGTGAAAATTTCAATAATAAATATTTCTTATCATATGAGGACTCCATGTTTCTTTTAATACTTCCATCATATATACTACTTTACATAGCTTTGTTCTTAATGATCCGGCATGAGCACCCCATGTTAAGTTTTCCATAATATAGATTCCTAGGAATCTCAGTTCTGACTCATAGACGATTTTTATTTCTAAAGGTTATCTGCAGTCTTAGGGAAAATCTCATATGTTTCGAATGAATTGACATAGCAGTTGTTCTTTCGGTATTTAATATAAGATTAGTTTTTGAAACCATATTTCTAAATTTTTCATAACATTTGCTATTTTATGTTTTATGTTGTGTATATTAATGACATTGTTGTAATATGTGCATATCCAGTGGTCAATTTTACTAGCAAATCGTTTTCAGAGTAGAGTGCTTAATGCAGTTTTACTGAAGTTGTTTATCTGGATGTCTTGGGGATAGGAACCTCTTTTAAGAATCCTCCATATTTTTATAAATTAATTCACATTTCATTGTAACTACTTGTTACATTTGCCCATATATTATCAACATGTATGAGCTTTTATTCATGATGAAATATTATGATAATTTAGAATAATTTACAGAAATGTAACACATCAACATTTGATACTCAATTTGAAAGCTTGAAAATCTGTTGCTATTACAACATATCCAGGAACCTTGAAAGCAAGCAGTGGATTTTGGAAGGATTTTGTTATTATAGATTGGTTGGTCTGTTTGCAGATACTGACTTGCATAATGTGATCAAACGAGGCACAATTTTGAAGGATGTCCACAAACGTTTTATCATGTATCAGTTGCTCAAAGCCACTAAATATATCCATTCTGGAAATGTTATCCATCGTGACCAGAAGGTAAGTAGTGCAAGCTTTTACATGCAACCTCTTCTGTTGTTTCATCCTCTGCTCATGTTATTTCTCTTCTCTGTGGTTGATGTTTGGATGTTCTGTTTGCCTGTGATTATTATACTTTCATTGTAGTGCATAGTGGATAGTGTTGAAAAATTGTTGTCTGAAGTATTGGAGTATCTTCACTCAGGCGCTTTTATGATTTATTAAAAATGCACAATCAAATACATTTATACTTGTCACCATAGGCTAGAAATTCTTTAATCTTTACCACTTCTCATGTGATGTGTAAATCTTAGTGTAATGTAAGTTAACTAATGTTAGGAATTATTTTTCAAATATTGGATTCTTTAACTTGTTCCAACTCAGATTGAGATTAATGCTTTTTTCTATGTGGTACAATAGGACTCTTTGGATAGGGCCATACTCACTGCAAAGCCTCTGCTATTACAAGGTAACATAGAGCAAAATTCTGATGACTGTATAATGTTTGGGATTCTAATTTATAACATTTATAACCCCTGTGTATTCATAACGACCAGTATAGACGACAGTGTAACTTCATTATGTCTATATTTTTAATAATTCCACATTATTTTCTTATCTCTAGATTAATGGAGGGCAGTCCTTGGCCACATTTTCTCCCAGCATCATGCCATTTGGAGTCAATAAGAGTGCCACTTATGTCAACGGTCTGCCTTCATTGTTCTAACTTCACAAAAACCTGCATACTAATTTGAAATGTATCCTCCAATTTCAAAACAGGTTCCTCAGGTTTAGTATGTGAGCAATGATAATTGCTTATAAATTCTGTTAGTTCTACTACGTAGAGGAACAGAATCTTTGTCACTCTATATGGCTCTCCATGCAATAAAATTATAAAGATGATGCATGAGATGGTAATGCAGTGTGTCAGTAGTGTTCCGTGTGTTAGTTGCAGGGAGTTCTGATTCTTCCTGTAGGTGGTTCTGTCAGCAGTAGTCTCCCTGTCTTCATGTCTCTTCATTTCCATGAAAACTGCATATTTAGAAGCACTGCTTGAAACCTGTATTTTATATATTTTTTTTTTCCAATATTCAGTGTTAGACCTTCCCCCTAAAATGTAAACATTGGCCACTGTAAGGTAAAAATAACACGAAAAGTAGGTATGAATGTATCATGATTTACCTGATGATGGCCATAAACGGCTGAAACATGTTGAAAAGAAAAAATTATAAATTTATTCATTTTATAGAAGAATTTTATTGACAGAACCTATAATAAGCATATTAACACTGTTAAATATGACTGGGTTGTGAGTATGCAGGTGTTGTAGTAGTACAAACAGACATTTGAATCCTTAATGTCAAATTTCATGCACACAGGGGACATGGTGGTCTAATTGTAAATGTTAACTGGACATCTGTACCGAAAACTTTGGCTTTGAGGTTGGCCAGATCCAGTTTAGGTTTGTCACATTTCTTTCCCTTCCTGCATCTCATATAAAGATAGTGCTTTGGAATACCAGACATAACCTATGTTAGGCTGTCAGCTCACTCTGTGGGTCATCTTCCTCATCATCAGGAGAGTGGAACTAAACTCGTAATTTGTCCCTGTTCAAAAATTTGCTCCTTATCTGTAATTTAGACAGCTGAAAGCCAAAATGATAGGTGACTGGTGACGTTAGCCACAATATTTCTTTTTGCACAGTATTTTATGAAATATGCTTTTATTGCTGTTTTGCTGGTTCTGCTTTAATGAATATTATAAGAGTTAGTAAGGTAAATGTAAAGTTTTACCTTTACTTAACTAATTGAGCACTACATCATGAAGGCATATGGGGAGTGGATGTACAGATCCACATTTTCTTGATCTTGGCACTAGTTGAAGGTGAGTGGTCAGCTTCATGCCCCTGCCACTTTACCCCTGGGGAAAGAGCCCCCCCAGTACCCATTGTGTAGGAAGTTGGGTGGACCTCAGATCCAGTGTGGAAGACACGAGGAAGAGAAAATTCTTGACCCTACTGGGACTCAAACTCCGACCCCTCGGCCATCCAGCCCTTAGCCAGTCACTGTACCGACTATGCTAATCTGGCTCTATTATAAGAGTTAGTGCCATCTTTATATCACACATATCAAATATTTATCATTTTCCTCGTGCTTTCAGCCATCAAATATTTTGCTGAATTCAGATTGTATCTGCAAAATAGCAGACTTTGGGCTGGCACGTTCTGTGGGGAAAACATATAATGGCTCCGATGAACAGATGACAAATCCAGCACTCACAGACTATGTGGCTACTCGTTGGTATCGGGCACCTGAAATTCTTATTGGTTCAAACTGGTAAGAGTGAAAAGAAAGGCATTGTTGTATTTAACCATTCTGGCATGCACTTGTGATTTTAGCCTGGAAACTATTTTCTTTCAAGACCCATAGTGTATATAAGCAGAAGCACCTGTTCTTCACCTGAAATGTGTTGCTTTCCTTGTCAGTGTTACGGTATGCAGTAGCTAAATCTTTCAAGAAGAAAGAACACTCAAAAGCAAGAAATTAAGCCAAATCAATCCAGTCCATACCACCACATCCTATCTCTCTAAGATCTGTTTTAATATTATCTATCCACCTATACTGTGGTCATCCTAGTGGTCTCTTTCCTTCTGGCTTTCCCACCAAATCCCTATATGCATGCCTCTCATCTCCATTTGCACTACATGCCCTGCCCATCTCATCCTCCTTGACTTAATCATTCTAATTATACTTGGCAAAGAGTACAAGTTATGAAGCTCCTCATTATGACATTTTCTCAAACCTCCTGTCACTTCATCTCTCTTCAGTCCAAATATTCTCCTCAGTACCCTGTTCTCAAACACCCTCAGTTTATGTTACTCCCTTAATGTCAGAGAACAACTTTCACACCCATACAAAATTACAGGCTTCTGTATATTTTAAATTTTATGTTTTTAGGCACCAGACAAGAAAACAAAAAGTTCTGAACTGAATGGTAGCAAGCATTACCCAAATTCAGTTTTTTCTTAATTTTGCCATTAATCAAATTTTAATTTGTTGCTGTCATTTACAAATATTTAAACTGTGCCACATTTTCAAAGGATATATTAGCTATCTTTGTGTTAAGAGTTTTCACTGTATTCTGGAGATGAGACATTAACATATACTTAGTTTTCTGTGTGTTTACTTCTAGACCAACCTCTTTACTAGCGTCAATTAGAGCTTCTGTGTTTTTCTTTATGGCATTTATGTTATCTCCCAATAGATTTACATCATCAGCATACACCAGCAGCTGTGTGTTCCATTCCATTTCAGTCCTGCCTGGTTTTCCTGAACCTGTCAATGTCATATTCTACATCAAGGTTGAAAAGCAATGGTGATAAAGCACCTTGTTTTAGACCATTTTGAATAGGAAATGTATCAAACAGATATTTTATGTACGTGGACTCAATTAATTGTTTCATTTAAACGCATTTTAATAAGCCTAACTACAAGTAGCTTCATGGTTATCCCACACTCAATGAGAATATTGTACAATACTTCCATTCTAATTGAATCATACCCTTTCTTGAAGTTCATGCATGGACAGCACAGGAAAAACCTCCCCCAACAGCTCTACTATTGTTGCATCATGCAGCTGTCACATGGACCTAACAGGGAACACCGCTTCCCAGTTGATGCATGTTAGGAATCTTTCACCTAGCAGCAGGCATTGTTTACAGAGTCAAGACTTAGCAATGGATATACGTGCTGCAGTATTTTATCAAATTTATCTAAAAACTATGCCTCCATACTTGCCTATCACTTTAACTGTCATGGCTACCATACATATTGGCAAGATCTCACTATATAAGTTTTGTGGCATACTTCAGGGTGTTTTCTATTAGGTTCATGTTAAGAAATATACAGAAACTGATGAACAAAGTTACAAGTAAGATACATGAGATATTTTCCAATGCTCTATGCTTTGGGGACTTCTATGTTTTCTGGAGTTATCAGAGCAGGCTGCAAGTTTGAACAAAGTTAATGTATACAAATAATAATTCAAGGAAAGAAAAATGTTTCTGATATCTGCAGTTATATCAGAGTAGAGAAGGAGGAAATAGATGTCACAGTAACAGAATTAAGACCCTGTGATCCATATTCTGACTTGAAGGGGGAGGGGATCTTCTGACACCAAATAAAATTCTATGGATTGGTGCTGTAAGTTTACAAAAGTCAACAGAAATGTTACCTTAAAGATATTTATTGAAATATGGGTCCCAATTTTCAAATTCTAGCCAACTTGATTACAAATATAATTAGAAAAAGAAAACAAGAAATATGAAGTAGATAATTACAAAAGTTTGATTGTCATTGCTTCAAATTACAATGATCATACTCGTAGATCCAGAGATCAAAATAAACAATAAATAAGTAACATGTTATACTGAAAGAAAAATCATTATCTGTATGCTTTTGAATTGCTTGAGGACTTTCTTCACTGATGACTGAAGACTGTCACTTGCTTTCCTCGTCAGATCTTATTCATTGCTCCTATTTTTGAGGTGACTGAAGGAAAGTACAGTCAGAAGGAGTGAAAGCTGAACAGGGAATGGTATTAATATTGTGTTGAAGCATCCTGTTGCATTAATCAGAAAATATCACATTCATATGCGATATAAAATTTTGACACACAATACAACAATTTTAACAAGGTAGAAGACACCCGATGATGACCATAGTGTGAAAGAAAGGCGACTAGGTAATAAGTTGCAATTAAGAAAGAAATATATGTGAAATAAATGAATGATATTTTTTAAACTTGTAGATATCTGTTCCCATAAAACCATACATGATGCCATGTGGTGTGGCATACTTCATCCAAACCTTGGAAGAGATTTGCCAAAGTACTGTTTTGTAATGTTCCTTCCACCACAGTTGTTCCATTATCCTAATGTTGCTGGATCATGGTAAGAATCAGAAGGACTGAAAAATGATTTATCCAGTGGCTGAAGCTCAGTGTGTTCAAATGCAAGGCAAGTAAAACAAAATTATATAATCACCCACAGCATCCACAGTGAGTTTTGGCACCATTGATGATCAGTAATGTTTTTCCTGCAGCTATGAATATAGCAGTTTGCTCTATCCATTTCATAACTTTACATGTCATTGACCACTTAACCATCATTTATCCTTTGAAAGACACCATTTCTGACATTGCGTGACCAAGAGCATTGCCATAAGGAACAGTGTTCTGGGGCAGTGAGGTGCAATCATTTGACATCTTTGGGAGAATAAACTTCTTGTCTATGGTCAAGGTATAACCTACAACCCATTTTGTTACTGTTGTAAATGCTTACAGTTTTCCCATGGACCTGTAATCTACCATTACAGATACCAGTTTTTCAAAGTAACCCTTCATGACAACATGATTTGCTCTTGGTTTACTGATTGTCTGAAATTATGAACTCCGTGATTACGAATAGCGTATATTTAGTGAATTTAGGATTTAAGGGCTACCTTACTGCTGGTCAAAGATCACATGTTATAGGGTAAAATGATGTTAGTTAATCTAAATTTAAACAAAGTAACTCATATAATAGACACATATACACTAGTCTAATTCCAACACCTGTCAGACCAAGGGACTTCCATTTTTCATAATTTATTTGCATGCTACAAGAGTAGGACTGCTAATTCCTCAGATCCCTGAAAGTTATAAGAGCATTAAACAATATTTAAGAGGGGCATAGTAAATACCGTTTCATTTTAGTGTGATATAAAATCATTAGAAAAATGTGACGTACCTAAAAACAGAAGCCACACTAACAGAAGACAAAACCTCTCCTGATGCCAATACTGCTGCTGCCATGTAGGTGACCTCATTACTGTTTCTTTGTGACTGGAAATGCTTCAAGGAATTGCTGTCACTTATATGTCAAGGTCATTCCTTTCACCAGTATTGACCAGTATCAGAATTAAGACAGAGTTGGAATATGGTCTAGGTACCTGCTATGTGTATATATGCAGGATGTCCCAGGAGAAAAGGTCAGTATCTTGGGAGGTCATAGCATTGGTCATTCTAAGCAAAGAAGTGTATATGTACATGTGTCCTATTCCGAGTGGTTTCCTATATAGAGCTAACAATTTTGGAACACTACAGTGAAATAGCCCTATCTCAGAAGCCATTCAGAATAGGACACATGTACATCTACACTTTTTTGCTTAGAATGACCGATGTGACCTCCAAGAATATTGACCTTTCCTCCTGGGACACACTGTATATATTGTCATATGTATGTAGTGTGACAATAGACAGGTTTTGGATTGATGACTCGATTTATTGCACACTTTGATACAGTGCGTGACTACCCTTTGTGGTTCACTATTACACACACACACACACACACACACACATAAGTGTCCACAGTGATGTCTTAACTGCCATTGCTGCGTAACAGCTTCCACCTAACAGACATTTCCCTTCCTCTGGTTTCCCAAACGGTCCCTGGTGTCAGCTACAAGTTTCTAACAGCAACAGCTCACAACAACTGAACTTCAGCAGTTCCCTAACTGACTGCAACAGCTAACTGGCCCTGCTTGTAACATTTTGACACAGATCATGCAGAAAAAACTGCTTCCATTATTTCTTTATTCTCCTGTTACTCTGGAAACATGTTTGTTTCCAGAACCGTTACTTAGCAACGGCTGTTGTATGTTGTTTATTTTACAGTTGTCTCCTAGCAGTGGGTCTACAAGCCACTATATCTATAATGGAGGAAGGCTCTTTTTCAGGCCATGAGCAGAAGAAAGCCAAGTCAGGACGAGCCCAGCAAAAGAACCTTATTGCTTTCCTTCAGGGTGAATTATAGGCTTCTGTGACCTGCTCAAGGAAAATCTGCTTTCCTGTTCATGCTGTTGGGATGTAGCTCAGTATTTATTGCTTCCCTGATTATGTGATGCTTGCATCAGGATTCTTTTTGGCTAGGATTCTGGTGTCCTATAGAACCAAGTGAGATCTAGTTTATGTTGTGTTCTGCTACAGCCAACTTATCTGGCTCAGAAAGATAGATGTGCTGATGGTGCATTTGACCTTAATCTGAGTGGAATTTCCAGCTTGTTCAATGTAAATTGTACAACAGTCAGATGGGATGCTGTACATGCCCTTTGTCTTTAGGGAAATTATCTTTCATGTGCTGAAGAAAACTGGATATTCTTCTTAATGGAAGGCCCACAATCTTTATCTTGTGCTCAGATAGTACCCTGCTAATATGGCTGAAGGTATTACCAACAAAAGATAAAAAAGACACCTTTTTATTGCTAGTGGGGTGGGACTAAGTCCCTTGTACTGCGGCCACTTCTGGCCTATTGTACCAGCCCCAGATGATAGGTGAGGGTGATTGTGGAGCAATTGATGGAATGAAGATTGGCAGGGGAAACCGAAGTACTTGGAGAAAACCTGCCCCAGTGCCACTTTGTCCACCACAAATCCCACTTGACCAGACCCAGGATCGAACCTGGGCCGTCATAATGGGAAATCAGCAACTAACCACTTGAGCTATGGCGCAGCCTCTGGGAGTAGTAACATGATTAAACTCTGTTAAGAGAAAATGTGAGAACATCAAATTCTGAAATCATCATAACATGCCTTGCTTATTTATCATATATGTGAACATAAACAAATAAAGTAAAAGTAAAGTAAAGCTATCCCTGTACCAGGCCGTGAAGGCCCATAGGGTTGTGAGACGTTGAGGGTCCCCCATTATCTAGACAATCAGCTCAAAGACGGTGGTAAGGTTGTCAGCCTTAAGCGCTGGCCGCGCTTTACTCCCCAGGAAAATTATTTAATTAATTCATTTATGTTAGAGGCTGAGTAAACCCCAGGGCCTAGTGTGGCTGGAAGGATTAGGTCAACTGAAAAAATCCAATGACCTCATCGGGATTTGAACCCGCAACCTTCTGGCTTGTAGCGTAGCACCTCAACCTCTACGCTACCGCGTGCCCCTGAACATAAACAAATACACTGCATAATATCAGTTTTTATTCTCTCAAGCAGATTGTTCTGGAATGCTTTCTATAAAATGGAAGGAATGGCCATCTTTATAATTATCTTACTTTCATTATTTTGAAAAAATTAAAGCAGGCTTATGCAATCTCCACGCTGTCTCTGAATCTGTGAATTCCCCCTATCAATTTCTGAATGTTTGAACCAGTCTTTATTAAACTTTGTATGTATATTGTGACACCTGAGCCCATCTCAATGGCATACTTCATAAATCCCTCCCATCATTCTGTGTGTCTGTATGCAGGCAAAGGCTCAGTAAAATGTATTTCTCCTTTCATTGCAAGCCAACAGCTTAGTAAATATGTTCCCACAGCATAGAATACACTCAAGAATAGAAGAATTGTTGGACATGGGTGTTTGTGGGTCTGTCTGTGTAGCCCCCTATTGTTTTTAGGTAACAACTTGGTAAAGACATTCCTGCTACAATGAAGAATTGCTGGAGGCATTATTTTCTATGTAATCCATGTCATATCAAAGGAAAGTAGGCAGTTAGTTTCTTCCAGAACTTCTTGTTTTTGATTGAAATTAAATAATTAATATGATACTTCAGTCAGTAAGTAAACAGGTTATTTGAGGTGCTTTTGTTTTGTCATTGTCTCATTAATAGTTTGGCATGTGACTTACAGGTACACTCAGGGAATTGACATGTGGAGCATAGGGTGTATTCTTGCAGAAATGCTGTTAGGAAGACCCATATTTCAAGGCACATGTACCATCAATCAAATAGAATTGATAATGGCCACCATACCTGCACCTACAGCAGAAGGTAATACCGTTTCCAAAGTGTTTTCCATATACAGTGTAAACGTTTTTGGAAGGTATCTGATTTGTACTGCTGCATTTTTGTCACCCCTTTTCATGCTTTGACTGTTCTGTATGTGCACACTTAATGATTAAAAGAACAGAAAACACTTGACTAAGGAAGTGTTATATTGTATAGGGAAGGTGAAGCCTGTCATAGAAAATATAAGAGGCTTACACTTGGCACTGGTCAAGCTTAGGACTGTTCAAATGACTAAAGCTATTGTTGCAGCATAAGATAAGTAAGGTAGCATGATCTGCTCTGCAAAGCCTGGACTGACAGAGGACTTGTGTATATAGTGCAAAAGGAAGAATTTTCAATAACATACTATGTGTGAGATACATGCACTTGACAAAGGCCAAGCAAACTCGTAAGAGACCACCCCATCCTCTTGTCGGAGAGGATGTTACTGTATATAAGGACTATGGCCATAAAGATTCAGCTTAAAAAAATCAGTCTCTGTTCATGAGTCTCAAGGGGCTTGATGCCAAGACAGAATTGTTGGCAGTAAACCACCAGTCACAAAATAACTCTGACACTTAGTAATCAGAAGAGTAGAAGGTTGGTGTGACTTGGCCACCGGCCTGAGAATGAGTTGTGAGAGAGTTGCTGGCCACTAAGGACGTGAACACTGAAGCTGAGGAAGCTACAGCTTTGGAAGCTGCTACCAGTGAAGATACAGCAGTCTAAGAAATCTTAGTTTGTGGTCTGTAAGAGTTCAATAAATCCAATTACCAATCCAAACCCCATCTATAGTCACTCATACATGTGACAACTGGTGTCATAAGTGGGATTGGATTGATTGATCAGTTGGTTTGAGTTGTGAATTTTGCATCATCATGTTTGAACTCAGGAGAAAGATAATTATGGCTGATTTCAAATGTCTGGTAGCTACCATAGGAAGGTAGGAAGCTATGGAACAGAACAACCAGGAAAAGATAGAAACCAGCCAAGAAAAGGTGATGGCCTAGTTAGATATCCATCACAAAAGGATGATGGCCAGGATGGACTCCTTACTAGAGAAAATGGAGGCTGCAGTGGATGTCTTTGAAGAAAGATTGAACAAAATGGGCACCATGGATTTGGAGGTCAGAGGCCAATTGAGAAATGTCAGAGGCCGTAACGGAACAGCAAGATATCCCTAAGGAAGAGGCCACAGTGGAAACTATCTGAGCGCAGGTGGATCAATATGGGGACCGGCATCTAACCATAGGGCAACACTGGCAGCTGAAGAAAAGGGCCCAGGGCGATGGTGGGTCCCAGCAGAACTTGGCTGTTGCCTGAGGATGGTTGACCTGCTGTGCCATTCTGCACTGCGCAAGAGACACGGTCATCAGGGACCAGGCAGGGACAGTGTTGTATGAAGACCCTCTAAGGATGAACTTTCATGAAGTGACTTCAGGCGCAAGTGGAATGCAAAAACGGCATAAGAGATCGAGGCCTTAAAGGGCAGCTACATTTAGAAAGCAAGATGGCATTCAACAAGACTGTGAAACAGTCTTTTGGACTGGAGGTCGTGAATTGATTAGTTTGGTTTTCCATTGGTTTATTGGAAGTGAGTGACTGGGCATTGTGAAAGGGTCGGCCCCCTCCAAAATGAAAGAAGAGACTACTAGCAGCTTAAGAGCCAGAGATGTAGGAGCATTGGCCACTGTCAGAACTTTTACTGCAGTCCTCTGAAAAGAACAAAGATAATGGTGATACACCTGAACCAGCTCACACCTTATCAGGGAACCACTCAGGGCGAATAGCCTAAAGGAGGGAGCAGTGTGGCATATAGACCCATTGCTAGACAACGCCCATGTCAGTATGTACTGTGTGATATAATGGGTATCTCAAGGTATATGTAGCTTATTGAGTTGGTGGAGACATCAAAGTTATCTTCCACACTGATAATATTTTCTTGCAGTAACATGTTTTAAAGAATGGTTATGTTTATTTTGTCCATTTTCTCATGTAAGACAGCGTATAGTATCCATTTGAAGGTTACTTGGGATTGGTAAACCTTCTCAGAATAATGAATCCAGTTAGTCAATAAAGATAAAGCCCAAAACTGTATAAATGATTTTTGACAATTGTTATGACCAAGCCTAAACCGAAATATTATACATATATGCTTCCTGGCCCTAGGGTCAGGTTGGGCTAAACCTGGACCATTCCAGGTATAAAGATAAACTTAACAATTACCCAGTAAAAGTTTAGTGTAAAAATGTTATCAGTGTCTGCATTGTATCAGGTTAAAGAAGCAGTTTATTTTTGCATTTGTGTTTTATTTTATTTTTTCACTTAATCATTTATGTTTTCAAATGGTAAAATGTGTGTGACTTTGTTTAAATAACTGAAGTCACACATGTCACAAAAATAAGCTAGAATTTGTCTGTGAATGAATGTCCAGTAGTTGGAGATGTATGATGTACAGTGTGTTCTTAATCATGTTTCAGATTTAACACATGTTTCTTCAAGTTATGGAAGTTCACTCCTACAGAAGGGACCAGTGGTTCGTCAGCGTTCACTAAAATATATATTACGTAATGCACCATTGGATGGAATTGATCTTGTGTCTAAATTACTTGTCTTCAATCCACATAAACGACTTACAGCTGCACAAGCACTGCAGCATGATTATGTCCGAAGGTATATAATAGAGTTCAATTGATTACATTATCTTATTCTTTAGTCATAGTGCAAGATGAGGGGGGATGGAGGTGTTACAGGGTCAACCTGTCCCCAAAGCGATTGCAATAACATGAAGTCATTTGTTTTTCCTGATAAAATTCACTTACTAAAGAAAGGTTTTAGAAGTAAAAGACCAACATTTTATTTTTTATATATTGTAATGTCTCTAAAGATGCTGTTCAGATTCCTAATTGGTTTATATAACAAGCTACAAGATGTAACTATAAATACTTATAACACTGTTATGGGTTTACACACTTTACAACCCTACACAATAATCTCTTCAGTAGTCTTCACGTATTTATAACGCAGGAGCTATACAAGTCTCTCTTAATTACATACTTCCAATATAACTATACTACAGCACACACAGAGTCTTGAAGTCACACAATAAGTCTTCACTGGCTTCACAATTCATACTCTGTCACTTCTTATCACGCACACACTCACACACTGCTCAACCAGCCTTTATACCATTCCCTGTTGCCACATGTTAACAGCGGTGAACCCTGTTACGTCACAGTGGGAAGTGCTGTTACATCACCACGGGAGGGGTTTACTGGCCTGTTACCGTAGCAGCGGCAGCAGCTCCTATGCTGTTACGTCACTGCGGCAATGATTGCCTAACACAGTTGCTCTTCTGTTACGTCACCACAGGGAGGGGGTGTTTACCGAGCGTTGCGTAATGATGGAAGGAGTGGGGGTATGTGATGTCACTCACGAGACCGCAGGGTTCACGCAACCCCTACTTCTTGTTGTGCCATCCACGTCACAATACAGGGTGTTTCACGACTTTAGGGCATAACGGCAGGTGATTTCCTAGGTCTTTGTGATCAAAAAAGTTCATATAAACATGTGTCCGATTTTGGACGGTTACGGAGTTATGACCGTTTTTTTATTCCCGTACACGCCCTCGTGTGAACTGCGTCTGTCAGCTGTTGGGTCGCTATTTTTAGCCAGCTACAGACAGAGTGTTCTCATTATCTCGACACTTGAGATGTTCCTACGGCTGGGTGGGTTGGTATGTCCGGCGCGGTTCACAACCGAGCAGCAGCCTGTGTTGCGGCTGGTGGTGGCATTTTCGAAAATCAGCTTTAAGCACCAATAAATTCAAATGAAAGGTAATTTCACGAAGTTAACTTTACATTCATACTTTAAATGTATCATGTATTATGCTGGTTTAATATTTTCTTCCGTTTATTGTCAGTAATCGTTACCTTCTAGTCTGAGTTTAAAATTGTCATAACTCCGTAACCGTCCAAAATCGGACACATGTTTATATGAACTTTTTTTAATCACAAAGACCTAGGAAATCGCCTCCTGCAGTTATGCCCTAAAGTCGTGAAACACCCTGTATATTAGTTTTATGAATTTATGTAATACAATGTCGCTCCCTTTTTATTGTGTTTTGAGTGTATTTTCAAGTTACCTGATATTTCAAAACACTTCCAAAGATATAGAATCCAGGATGCACTACCCTATAACACTTGCTAGAAGTCTGGTCTTTGTCACTGGTGTTCCTAAGTCCATGACATGGTAGAATGAATAAAAATATTGTAGGAAAGCATGAAAGTTTAAATACTATAGGGAGATGTGAAAATCTGTATGATGACCTGCAGAATGAAGTAAGTAAATATTGTCACATGTATGAGCGACTATAGATGGGGTTTGAAATGGTAATTGGATTTATGGCACACTTATACACACAACTTGCAACTACAAATAACTTAGCACTAATGCTAATTCATGCTCTGCAAATCACTACAGCACACACTAAGTCTTCTCAGCCTGCTGTGTCTTCACCGACCTAATGGTAACAACTTCCAACGGTGGATGTTCCCATTCCTCTGGGTTCCTGAACTGTCCCCATGTCTCAGCTACCAGCTTCTAACAGCAACAGCTCACAAAGACTGAACTGCAGCAGGCCTCTAACTCACTCGCCAACCAACTTACTCAACTTTACTAGCTCCCAGGCTGGTGGCCATCTCGAAACAACCTCATACTTTTGTCACTGTTTTCTCAAGACTCTTCTAATGGCAGCTGGCCCTCACTATACTGCATCAGCATGGACTGCACAGAGAACACCTTTTCCAACACCTCCTCGGATATTGCTTGCATATTTGTTGCAGCCATTACTTAGCAGTGACCATTGTTTGCAGAGCTATTACTTAGCAATGGCTATTGTATAGCTGCTTATTTCATGGCCGTTGCCTAGCAACAGGTCTATATGCTATTACTTAACAATGACTATTGTATAGCTGCTTATTTCATGGTCGTTGTCTAGCAACAGGTCTATATGCCGCAGTAGCACGTAGATAAGTTGTCAGTAAATCCAGTTACCACCCCAAACCCTGTCTGTATGGAATCATTAACATTAGAAGCAGAAATCGCAGTAAGCAAACTCGACATTAGAAACAACATTGTAGACGTATAGTCGCAAAAACAGTTGCAAAGATTAACCAGGAAGATAATAAAAACAATATAAGAAGTAAAAGAGAATGGAGATTAATAACAAATGTAAGAAATAAATTAGCTGGAAATGAACTTACCATAACAAAAGCAGACAAAGGGAAAACTATAGTTATATGTACTCAGAAGAGAAAACTACAAACAGATAGTAAACAACTTTATCTGAGAAAACCAATTCACAATACTTATAGCAATCCCACGCAAAAGTATAAAAAACTATAAAACAAACAGTAGCACACTGTAATAGTATTATGCCAAAAGAAAACAAATGGAAATGAATCCCACGACTCAAAATCTTTATGCCACAGTAAAATTACACAAATTACGTCTATTAGACCAATAATTAACTGCAAGAATGTGCCCACATATGAACTAGCAAAATATTTGACAAAAACTTTGTGCAGTCACATCTATGTAATTCTTGCAACATTCAAAACTCTACCTTTAACTTACAATCCATGGAAATTAGTGGAGATATGAGGATGTGTTCATTCGACATAGTATATGTACTAATGTACTAGAATTAGAGGCCATAATTATAGTAAGAAATAACTCAGAAATCATAAAAAACTAATCTAAAAGAAATAATAATTATATTAAGAACGGTGATGAAACAAAACTATTTCCAGTTTGACCCGCAGTATTACAAGCAAACTGAAGGGTTAGCAATGAGTACTCCTACATCCGCAATATTAGCCAAGGCATATATCCAACATATGGAACAAACAGCTGTATCCAGTTTTAATGAAATATTAAATAATTGGATATTTTCGATATGTCAATAAACAACCAATATAAAATTCACTATCAAAAAGTACAGTATAACTCCATTAATTTTCTGGATCTTACAATACACTGTAAGAGAACAGTATTCACGATATATAGAAAACCTACACAAGCATAAATAATACTGTATGACTCCTGCCACCCATATGAATATAAAATATGAAGTATTAGTTACTTAATGAACAGCGTGCACACATATCCAATTTCAAAGGAAGAAAATGGAATGGAACTAAATATTATATACTACACATTACATAACAATGAATATAATCAGAACTTAAGCACATGACACCCAAATCAATGCAAACACAACAAAAACACAGATCAGCAACACCAGAAAACAAAATGGATCATTTTCACATACAGTGGAAAAGACACAAATTATATATTCCATTCTCTTTTTCCATAAGTCTTGTGGTTTTCAAGAGAAATAAATTGGGTAGTGTGCATGTATTTCTGAATTTCCATTAAGTGTCTTGGATTATCTCTTTTTAGGTTTCTTTCCCAATTTTGAAAAAAAAAGAGGCAACTTTATGAGATCTCCTTGCTGTCCATGTGTCTGCTTATCTCTTCCATCATTGCTAGGCAATGGCTCAGTAAACATGTTCCTGTGGCAATGAATATATGTGCAACAGTAGAAGAATTGTTGGATGCATTGTTTCTATGTGGTCCATGTCATATCAAAAGAAAATAGGGGATTATTTCTTCCAAGAAGTTCTTGTTTTATTATTCCATCCTTCCCTCTTCATTAGAATAATAATAGGGAATATACAGTGTGTGTGTGTGTGCGCGCGCGTGCGTGCGTGCGTGTGCAGGAACGCACGTATGTAGATGAAATATTCCATGAATGGAAAAAAATGATAACTCCCAAAATATATCCAGGTCAAGGAACGCATTTAAATATACTACTCTGTGCAGATAATAAAGTTAATCACTTAAGAACATGAAGATGAGCTTCAGACATCAGTTTTTGATTACAGGAAAAATAGAATGAATGCAATTTTAAGATCTTCTTGCAGAAAGCTAAGGTGGTAGATTTTAGAGGAAAAGACCTTGGTATGAATGAATTTGTAGTGCATGATGCATTGACAGAGAAAGTTGCACATTTTGCTCATTTGCATATCTTGACTCTAAAATTACTTATGGGCTAGATAAAGATATAGAAAATAAATTACATGCCTTTCAAGATACATGTTGGTGTATTAATAGAAATTTTGAAAGACACACAATCTAGGTTTTACAGTGCTGTGGCTGTACCACAATAGTTATATAGCAGTAAAACCTGCGTCAAGAGGAAGAGGGACATGAGTAGAATACAGGTAACAAAAATGAAGTTTTTAAAACATCTGAATTACAGAATTATAATGTGGATTTTAGATTGTCTCTTTTTATTATTTTCAGGTTTCACTGCGAAGCAAGTGAGCCAATTTTGGGTCACACAGTAGTGCCACCTGTCCGAGATGATGTCCAACTATCAGTTGATGAGTATCGCAGTAAACTGTATGAACTCATGGCTACTGGAACAGGAGCTCATACTAGACCCTGCAAGGTTAACCATGAAGACAGGTATAGGAAATTTTGGCATTTGGTAAATAGTAGATCGTTCCAGCAATGCTATAATTATGAGAGGGAGATTCATTAGGTTACTAGTAGTAAAGATGAAGATTCTGTGAAGTAATAACAATGAACAAGAAGGGATATCATCTGAAAGTAGACTTATACCATGAAGGTGGAGGCATCAGCTTTTCTTGAGACATTGGTAACCATTTAATCAGATTACTTAACATCATAACCCAGAAGAACACAATCTAAATTTTCACTGCTATTAAAACCTTAAGCTTCACGCTTGAAAGCAGGAAACTGAAAATCAGTGATCATTATTGTTACCAATTGATACTTCATATGCATTTAAACAAACTTTTTTATTTACTTTCAATCAGGACACAGAAGTTTCCTGAGAAGGGCCAGAATCAACAGATCTATCAGCCAAGAACTTGGGCACAAGTAGATCATGATAGTTGTTCAAAGAAAGGAAGACATTTATCAGCTGAGGTGAAAACTATGCCTTCTATTCGAAGTCATCATACAATTCCCATGCTGATAAATCACTCTGTGCCTTCTCAATCTGACATGAAACTATGTGGTAAGAATAATAATGGTAACACAATACTCTGCAGATACCAAACATTTTTCTTAAGTGTATAATTTTTATAATTTTTAAATGATTCTCTCTTGCAGTTGTATGTTCTGTAGATTAAAATGAAGATTGATTTCTTTTAGAATGTAAAGATTATAAATGTAAAGGAACCTTATTGTATAAAATAAATCAGTGTACAATATATTTGTCATGGTGAAATAAGGAGATTTTGTTATAAGAGAAAATGGATACAGTAAATGTTTAATGAGATTTTTTAACATTTTTTTTAAATCTTCATATGTAATGACAGCCCACATGGCCAGTCTAGTCCAGGGTATCATATTGGACCTATTTGTTCTGTTGAGTATATATATTTGTCCATGTTTTTAATCATTTTGTCATTTTTTATTTTGGTATTTTTGGCTAGGTTCCTCAGTCAAGTATTGCTCTATATTAAATATTATTAAATTGCTGCTTATATTAAATACATTTAAGTTTATATTGAACTTCTGTCATAATTGGTATACTCCAGGTCTGTGACTTCCAAGTCATGGCAGAATAAATGTTCTATTAGTTACAGTTTCTTTATTAGAGTCTGTCACAACACAACAATATATAGGTCAAGGCTAAAATTAGCTTGGCTACATGCTTTGGCTCATAAAGCCATCATCAGGCAAACACATGATTACCATATTCACACACTACTGAACTGCAATTGGGATGGTAAAGCTGGATACTTGATAATACATTATAAAATACATGTCTAAAAGTACAATGAACTATAAACTTATTAAAACGAAAGTTATGACATAAAATAAGGTTAAAACTCTTTATTCTGTATCATCAGATCAGTTTTTTTTAAATTTTGGTTATTCCCGCAGACATAATGGTATGTTCAGACTTATATACATGTAATAAACTGCTTGGAGGCCTGTGGTATAGATGTACTATAGTGTTGATGTTAATTATTTAGCCGGTGCCTCATCTTACAGTGTATTTGTCTGTTCTGTAGGGAATATAGATTGCATTAAATGTACTTAGTGGGGGGTGGAGTCCAACTGGGTCCACTTGGCATGGCAGCCACTGATTGGCCTATTGTAACCTGCCCCAGTGATTATGATGATGGGAATTTGGTGGAATGAAGATTGGCAGGAGAAACCGAAGTACTTGGAGAAAACCCACCCCAGCGCCAATTTGTCCACCACAAATCCCACTTGACCAGACCCGGGATCGAACCCGGGCTGCCACGGTGGGAAGCCAGCGACTAACCGCTTGAGCTATGGCGCAGCCTGTTGTACTTACTGACTGAAAATCAGTTGGTGGAACTTCATGCCTTCAGCTTATTGGCAGTACAATTTGAGGTGCATAACAACTAAAATTGTTAGTTGAACATCTTTTAAGGTGAATTTCCCTTTTATAAAACTATATATATATATTTTTGTTGTTACAGCTCATGTTGCTGTGCCAGTTACACAGTGTAAGAGATCAAGTACATTATCTCATGTATTGCAACACCAGCCAGTTCAGCTTATGCACACTGCTGCAGTAGTCCAACAAGCATCTGATGATACTTCTAACCAGCAACATATTGAACATCCGAAACTGGTAGGTTTGCACTTGTAGCTGTTTTTATCCATCTTTCCATAACAAGACCCAGGCATATGGTATCCCCATGTCAGTGTGTGCCTGTTCCCCTCTTTTATGCCAAGATGTAAGTTGGCATTGTAGGGAACCTCACCTTTTTACTTTTCAGTTTTCTACCACTGATGGTGCCAGTGTGGCTGTTATATGATGGGAGTGATGCTAGCACAATTGAATGTAAGGTCCTGAAATTTTGTTGAGTATTAGATCTTCTGAAGAGGGAATCTCTGAAAGACAAAATTAAAGAACTTGGAAAGAACAGTAAGAACAAGAACATTAGAAACTTGCATAGAGGAATAAATTAATTTATGAGGAGGGGGGGGGGTTCCTACCTAGAAGTAATGTGGTAAAGTATGAAACTGCTGATCTGCTTGCAGATTCCCACAACATTTTGAATAGGTGGAAGAATTACTGCTGTCAGTTATTGAATGTACATAGGGTCAGTGATGTTAGGCAGACAGAAATTCATACAGCTGAGCTGTTAGTAACTTTTCCTAGACCCGTTGAGGTTGAAATCGGTATTGCAAAGTTGAAAACGTATAAATTGCCAGGTAGTGATCAAATTCCGGCAGAACTGATTCAAGCAGGAGGTGAAATATTACGTTCTGAGATCTTTAAGGTAATTAATTCTATTTGGAATAAGGAAAATTTTCCTGTTCAGTGGAAGGAGTCTATTATTGCAACAATTCACAAGGATGGTGATAAAACTGGCTGTAGTAATTGTCATGGGATATCACTGCTATCAACTTCATACAAAATTTTATCCAATATTCTTCTCTCAAGGTTAATTCAATATATAGATCAAATTATTAGGTATCATTATTGTGTGTTTATATGTAACAGGTCAACTACTGATCAGATCTTTTGCATTCGTCAGATACTGGAATAAAAAATGGAAGTACAATGAGGCTGTACATAAGCTATTTATAGACTTCAAGAAAGCCTATGATTCAGTTATGAGTGGAGTATTGTACAATATTCTGATAGAGTTTGGGGTACCCATGAGACTAGTTAGGCTGATTAAAATGTGTTTAAACAAAATGTATAGTAAAGTCTGTATAGGTAAACATTTGTCTGACAGTTTTCCTATCTGGAATAGTCTAAAACAAGGAGTGTCACCGCTTCGCAACTTTTCTTTAGTATATGCCATTAGGAAAGTCCAGGAAAACCAGGTGGGACTGAAATTAAGTGGGACACATCAGTTGTTGGTCTATGCTGATGATGTGAATCTACTGGGTGATAATATAGATACCATAAAGAAAAACACAAACATTAATTGACGCTAGTAAGGAGACTGGTCTAGAAGTAAACACAGAGAAAACTAAGTATATGTTGCTGTCTCGTTACCAAAATGCAGGGCAAAATGATGACATAACGATATGAAACAAATGTTTTGAAAATGTGTCACAGTTCAGATATTTGGGAATGCCGATTACAAATCAAAACCTGATTGTGGAGGAAATTAAGAGGAGATTTAACTCGGATAATGCTTGCTACCATTCAATCCAGAACCTTTTGTCTTCTTGTCTGCTGTCCAAAAACATAAAAATTAGAATATACAAAACTATAATTATGCCTGTGGTTCTGTATGGGTGTGAAACTTGGTCTCTGATATTAAGGGAGGAACATAGACTGAGGGTGAAGAAAGCTGTGTTCTGGGATGTGGCGCCATGTAGAAATTGTGTTAACCGATGTTTCGGAGGAATGTGTCGCTTCCATCTTCAGGGTAGAAGACAAGAAGACATCCGCGAGCAAACCAGCAGAGCAGGTGCAACAGACTGAGTCCAGTTGAGTAAACACAGCTGTATAAGAGAAGGAGAGAAGCAGTGTGGCTACATAGGGAAATAGTAGAGAGGGGGAGGGGAAGGGTCTGATGGAATAGCCAGCAGGTAGTGGGCCAGAGCTGGTACAGAGCATGTGTTAGGGGGAGAGAAGGGAAGGTTACACAGTGCCACATCCCAGAAGACAGCTTTCTTCATAGTCACCGCCGTGAAAACCTCAAATCTTATATAGACTGAGGGTGTTTGAAAACAGGGTGTTGAGGAGAATATTTGGACCAAAGAGGGATGAAGTGACAGGAGGTTAGAGAAAACTGCATAATGAGGAGCTTCATAACTTTTACTATTCTCCAAGTAAAATTAGATTGATCAAGTCAAGGAGAATGAGGTGGGCAGGGCATATAGCACGAATGGGTGAGATGAGGAATGCATACAGGATATTTGTAAGAAAATCAAAAGGAAAGACACCACTGGGAAGACCAAGGCGTAGGTGAGTGGACTATTAAAATGGATCTTAGAGAGATAGGATGGGATGGTATGGATTGTATTGATCTGGCTCAGGATAGGGACCAATGGAGGGCTCTTGTGAACATGGTAATGAACCTTCGGGTTCCATAAACGCTGGGAAACTTTTGAGTAGCTGCAGATTTGGCTTCTCCTCAAGAAGGGCTCAGCTCCATAAGTAAGTAAGTAATATTTTCTGTCTACCTCATTAAACAACCTGGTACTTATTTTCATGTTAGTCATTGATGTAAATTGTGGTTTCTTACATGCGGGTTACAGTTGGTATGCTAGATGGAGTTGATCTGACTTTACTGGAGCATCTTGTTAGATTAGACACAAGGTATTTCTGCACACAATCATACCTGTGTGCTCACTGTCATTGCTTTTGCTACCAGTTCTGGGATACAGTGCTTGCATGTGTTCCAGATGGGTATATGTGTAGGCAGATCTCTTTCTTGTGAGTACTGGCACCATTTCTGTAGAGCATGAAAATGAAAGAAATATAATGCAAAATTATTGAAAGACTTGAGGGAATAACAGAATCTGACATATGCCTGCTCTAGCAAGGCATAGAAGCCCAGACTGCATGAGAAATACTATCAGTATAGCATGTGTGCATGCGCTTGTAGATGTTATAGTGGAACCCCCCATTTAATATTCCTTGACATATAGTTTCCCTAATTAAGCAGTCCCAAATCAACATTCTCAGGTAAAATTCCCTCCATTTAAGATTTTTCACAGTATACTTTTGAAATACGCTGTTTCCCAAAGATTTGAGCCACGGCAGTAGGGTGAAGATTTTTCTCTCCACATTGTTCAGACCAGTTCTGGGGCACACCCAGCCTCCTGTCCTACCAAAGTGACTGGTATTGTAATTATACTAATCACTATTTGTGGTAAGAAGCTAGTTTGTTCTGAACTCACAAAGGAAACATTAGCTTGAAGTTCATTTACTTGGGAGTGAAATATAAAATAAAGGTGTTCTGAAGAGAGCTTACAGAGTTCACTTATAAATTTAGAGTCCTACAAAAGTTGCTAAGAATCCTGATGAGCTGCTGAAGTAGATTAAAGAACTCAACCTGGGGCTTCATACTGAGCACTGGAGGATCCTTGACAAGCAACATGAGCCAAAAGGCCAGAAAATAATCCTTCTCACAGACTGGCACTCCCAGGTAGCTATCAAGGGGACCGAGTATAAGATATTTACAGGACTTTCTCAAGGAACTTTTAAGGTCTTGAGATATCATGAAGCAGAGGCCCAGCAGTAAGAAGGGGCTGCACTGAGCCCATTATCCTCATACTCAGTTTCCAAGGGTGAAGGGGCAGGTATGTCCTCTTCTTCTGGGACTGAGATTGCTGAGCAGAGGAGGGCAACAGAAACCATCACACCAGCTCCTGCAGATCCAGGGACCGATAAGGAGAGTACCATTTCTGTCAAGAAAAGAGAAATATGGAAACAAAACCTTTGCCCAGTGAAACAAGAGGCGGGAGGAAAGAAAACCACCAGCACTGTGAAATCTGTGCAGATAACTTATACCTCAGCAAAGCAGCTATGGTGGTTCTGTGCCAGCTGCTTGCTGAGGGAATGGCAGTTATGGCTCTTATTCAGGGGTCTTGGATTTATAGGGGCCAAATAAGAGGTAGTATGACAAACTCAGGTGAAACAATCTTTTCTGTTGCACCTGAAGGCAACATGAGGTTCTGAATTTATGTCAGGAGCCATATTAATGCCTTGCCCTTGTTGGAGTTTTGTTATAGGGATGTGACAATAGTGATGATGACATACATGTGGAGGAGGCTGCAAGGAGCTTATCATTGCCTCAGCTTACCTTCCACATGACTCAGACGAGCCATTGCCAACCAAGGAACTAAGGGACTTAATGGATTACTGCCACAGCAGGAAAACGTACCTTATCATTGAATGTGTTACCAATGCACACCACATATTATGGGGGAACATTGACACCAATCCCAGATGAGAAAGCTTTGTGGGATATTTGTTGAGTTTGAAACAGAATATTCTTAAGCAAGGTAATGAGCCTACCTTAGTGGTTTGCAATAGGAAGGAGGTTATTGATTTGACATTAGGGGCTTATAAAGTAGGAAACCTGGTAAGTAATTGGCATGTACTGATGAGCCATCTTTGTCAGATCACAGGTACATATGCTTCTGGATAGGTAACATAGCTACAACTGGAGTTACTTTCAGGGATCTGAAGAGATCAAACTGGGAATCATACAAAGACAACCTAAGGGTAAATTTTTAGACCATTTTGTGAAGTGTAGACACAATAAGAGACATAGATCTGACTGCTGACCAGTTGCAGCAGGCTGTCATCATGTCCTATCATAAGTATTGTCCAGCAAAGACCAATTACTCACCAAGGAAAGCACCTTGGTAGAATAAGAAGCTGAGTTTGCTGAGAGACAAAATAAGAAGTCTATTTAGCATAGCTAAAAGGATAGGCCAGTGGAATACCTATAAGAAAACCCTCACCTGTTACAACAAAGATATTAAGCAAGCCAAACAATCTTCATGCAGGAGGTACTACCAGGAGATCATTGATGTACCAGGCAGTGCCAGTTAATGGAGATCATGGTAAAACAAGCAACCAATGGGGTGAGCAGTGTTAAGCTACCTGATGGTCAGTGCACCCAAACTGGAGGGGAGACACCGCAAGAGCTATTCAGAGTTTGCTTTCCAGACTCAGTGCTGCTTGGTGATTTAAATGATGGACAGGGACAGCAGAACCTGAATATATGCAAATGCACAACAAACAGAGGAGACTGAAACCTGGCCAGAAATTTAATAAATCAGTCCAAAATTAGATGGGCACTAGGTACCTTCAAACTACTTAAATCAGTGGGAATAGATGAAATTATAGCAGCATTTTTGCAGCAAGAGGTGGAATATTTAGTTCCACTCCTTTCCCACATTTAGAGCCTGTCTGACATATTGATTTATTCCAATGGCCTGTAGGCAGGTTAAAATACCGTATTTACGCATGTATAGGCCGCAGCACAATTTTCAGACAGAAATTATAGAAAAAATAATTTTCTTGGAATATTATTTCAGGAGTAGAAATTATTCCAAAATTTGGCAATGTTTAACATTCCTAAGTTCACAACTAGCGAAAATAACGGTACCGCTCGGAACAAAGGCATTGCGGGGGAGAGTTATAACCTTTTCGCCTTTACTTGACTTGCCTGGTTAGTTCTGAGTGAAACATGGGTCGAGTAAGAGCAGGTTATACGTCTAAATTTAAACTTCAAGTGGTGCGTTACGCACAAGAACACGGAAATCGAGCAGCAGGGAGAAAATTCGACGTTGACGAAAAAAATGTGCGAAGATGGATACTAACGAAAGATGCCCTTGAAAAAACGTCACAAAATCGACAATCTTTCCGCGGAAAGAAAGCTAAATTTCCAGAACTTGAAAATAAACTTTTGCGATACGTGCGTAATACACGGGCGGATGGATTTTCAGTGTCTGTGGAAATGATTCAATTTGAAGGCCTCAAAATAGCGGACAGAATGAAAATTCCTCGTAATGAATTTAAGGGAAGTTATGGATGGGCAAGGCGCTTTATGGCCCGACATGATCTTGTAATTCGGCGACGGACGTCAATAGCGCAGCGCCTTCCCGACACATACCAGGAGAAACTGCTTGCATTTCAAAAACATGTCCTGAAATTAAGAAAGACGCACAACTACACCATGGGAGCTATTGGAAATGTTGATGAAACTCCTGTGTTCTTTGAAATGCCGGGTGAAAGTACAGTGAACAAAGCAGGCGAAAAAACAGTGCATGTGCGGACTGCAGGAGCAGAAAAGCAGCGGTGTACCGTAATGCTTGGTATCACTGCTGATGGAAACAAACTACCACCATTTGTAATCTTCAAACGCAAAACATTGCCGAAAGAAAAGCTTCCACCGGGAATTTTGGTGAGAGTTCAAGAAAAAGGATGGATGACAGAAGAGCTCTATCTGGATTGGTTGAAATCAGTGTGGTTTCGGCGCCCAGGCGCACTTTTACGTCAGCGGTCAATGTTAGTGGTTGACAGTTTTCGAAGCCATTTAACTGAAAATGTGAAAGTGAAGATGAGGCAGGAGAAAAGTGATATGGTTGTGATACCAGGGGGGATGACTGGCATGTTACAACCACTTGACGTGTCAATAAACCGTCCTTTCAAGTCTCATTTGCGGCGCTTTTACCGGGACTGGAGATGCGGTTCCACGGAGATGACGCCGACTGGACGATTGAAGAAACCTTCATTAAGTCAAATGTGTGAGTGGATTGTGGCTGCATGGAACACCATACCAGAAGAAATGGTTTCCAAAAGTTTTAAAGTCACATCCATTTCCAACGCAATGGACGGGACTGAAGATGACGCTGTATGGCTGACATCACCTGACAGCGAAACTTCGAGCGAGAGCGACATCGACAGTAACGAGTCAAGTGATGAACAGTAATATGGTTCAATTACCGTGGACCAACTTCAGAAAGTGTCGCATAATTTATTCATGCGATGCGAAGCATGTTTGCAAGCAGAAGGGGGTCACTTTCAGCACCTGTTATAAAGCACAGTAAGTTTGTGTTATCTTTTTATAGTATTCTTATATATGTGTGCATGTACAGAAACTGATGTAAGGGTATCAGCGACACGACTGCACTCTCGCTAGCGGGGAGGGGCACAGTAGTCGCAGAGAAACGTTTCATCCCCTCTACGCTGCTGTCCCGGTTTCCTTGATCTTTGAACATTCTGTATTACTAATTATGAATATAATTTTTTTTAAATGAAGTGTGATTTCGAATATTTCGAATATAAGCCGCACCCCAGTTTTCCTCTTGAATTTTTGGCAAAAAATGTGCAGCCTATACATGCGTAAATACGGTAATGTTTAATCCAAAACCCAAGAAATCTGACTACACCGAGGCTGAGGTATATCATCCTATCAGCCTGTCATCTTTTCTTTTGAAGATGATGGAGAAATTAGTGGATAGACACTAGGGTCGGTGTACTAAATGAGCATCCTCTACACCGAAACACCTAAGCCAACATGCATACCTTATTGGTAAGTCCACTGAAACTGCTCTTCAAAATGTGGCAATATGCATAGAAAGTGCTATTAAATACAGAGTGACACATGAAATGATCCAGTATTTGATTTAATATTAATTATTTAACCATTTAATGAATTATGTTTTGTAACATGGTAACACTTATGGACATCATTAGTTCTTTCTCTTCCTGAGCGTGCTAGTGTCATGGTGTTCCTGCTCATATGCAAGTTTACACAAGATGGCTGATAAAGGAACTCTCTGTAGAACAACACATAAAAGCAGTGTTGTTGTTTAATGAAATAAGAAGTGTTGTGGTCACACAGAGGCAGTTTCGTGCCCATTTTCAAACACCATGGGTGCCTTCATTCAAAACAATCATAAATTTTATAACCAGTTTAATAATGATGGTTCAGTGTTGCAGAGGAAACGTCACTGGCCTTCATCTGTGCATTCTCTGGAGAACATTGATGCTGTCAGAGTGACACTGCAAAGAAGCCCCAGTAAATCAACAAGGAAGGCTCCAGTACAACTTGGGATATACAGACAATTTGTACAATAAATATTGGAAAGTGATTTGAATTTGTATCCATACAAAATGACAATATTGCCTAAACTTACAGTTCAAAACAAACATCAAAGAATGGCATTTACTAAATGGGCTCAGAATAATGAGGTATCATTAAACAATGTTTGGTTTTCTGATGAGGCACACTTCCACTTAGAAGTTGCGGTTAATGAACAGAATGTGCGATTTTGGTCATCAAAGAATCCACATGTGATTTGTGAGAAGGTGCATCATGCACTGAGGATTGCAGTGTGGGTCGCCATCTCAAGTCGTAGACTGCTAGGGCCAATTTTCTATGAAGAGACAGTGAACAGTGAGCACTATTTAAGCGTGTTGCACAATACTTTCATGTCTCACCTTCTTGTTACAGGTTTGCCTTTTCAAAGTCAGTGGTTCATTCAGGATAGAGCCAGGCCACACACAGCGAATGTTGCTTTGGACTTCCTGTATGGCACTTTTGACTTGCATGTCAACTCAAACCAATCTTCTCATCATTTCGCATGTGGACAGAACTGGCCACCAAATAGTCCTGATTTAAATCCATGTGCCTACTTTTTGGGGGGATTCCTTAACCCGTTGCCGTGGTTCGTCGTGTATGTTTCGTCAGGGATTTAAATCGTCTGGGGGGGTTCGACGTGTATGTTTCGTNTGCTTCCATTGAAGATATAAAGGGGGTTCATATTATAAGGTAAGGTTATAAAACCACCTTTTAAGATCATTTTAGTGAAAGTTTCATGTTCCTATCTCATAGAATTTAAGAACAATGATGAATAAATAATTTTCGAGCAAAATTTAAATGGCCGGCTGAATATATTACCGCAGGAGCCGCGGCCGCAGAATTTAAATGACCACGTCAAAGGGTTAAGGAGAAGATTTTTCCAAAAGGCCACAAACATTAATGTGATTGAGAGCACTAATCATTCAGGCCTGCAACGAGGTAACTGAGGTTATGTGCTGTCAAGTAGCCAGCAACATCACATTTTATGTTGAAGAAGTTGCCAGACTTAATGGTGGTCATATTGAACACTTGATTTTTAGAGAATAAATCTCCATGCAATGGTCTTTCTTTTTTGTGTATTAGATTCTAGTACTGTAACTGAAATAAAAATTGTATTAATAGATCAAATACTGGATCATTTCATGTGCCACCCTGTGCAAGGGAATCATCCTAGGAGCTTTCCTTGATACAGAGGGAGCTTTTGAAAGAACCTCATTTCATATAATAACACACACTGCTGAAAGGCACAACATTGAGCCTGCTATTTAGAGGTGGATCAGTTCTATGCTGGAAAGCAGAACCATAATAACTACATTGTCAGGAGAAACCATGAAGGCGTCTGCAGCTAGGGGATGCCTTCAGGGAGGTGTACTCTCACCTCTGCTGTGAAGCCTGGTCATGGATGAGCTTCTTTGGGAGCTAAGTGACACTGATTATTATACAGTAGAATACTCAGACGTTATGCAATCCTATTCAACACAAAATTCCTTTGACCTGTGTCAGAGGTCTTGCAAACAGCTCTATGCACAAACCAGCAAAGGTGCAATAAGACAAAATTGATCATGAACCCGATAAGACAGTGATAATATCTTTTACTAGGAAGAGTATATTAGGGGATTTAAACTAGTGAAATGCTACATTTGGAGCATAGCTCTGTATGGGGCTGAAACATGGACACTAAGGGCAGTAGATCAGAAACATCTGGAAAGTTTTGAAATGTGGTGTTGGAGAAGGATGGAGAAGATCAGTTGGACTGATTATGTGAGAAATGAAGAAGTGTTAATTAGAGTCAGTGAGCAGAGGAATATCCTACATGAANGGAAGAAGACGTAAGAAGATGCTGGATGACCTTGGGGAGAGAAGAGGATACTGTCATTTGAAGGAGAAAGCTCTAGATCGCATTAAGTGGAGAAATTGTTTTGGAAGAGACTGTGGACCTGTCGTCTTGACAGAGTACTGATGATGATGATGATGATGGAACCAACACTCTTCACTAATACAATCCAATTATTCAGTGAGGTCAGGTACCTTGGACTAACACTAGGCAAGGTGCTGAAATGGAAAAAGTAACTGACAAGGACTACAGAGCCTTTTGGACACCTAGAGGCATGTTTGGGAAAACCTGGGAACTAAAACCAAAGGTGATATACTGGATTTACACTCTGGTTGTAAGAACCATAGTCATTTATGCTGCCACTGTGTGGTGGCCTAGAGTCAAATTCAAAACAAGCAAGGCTGAACTTAACAAATTGCAAAAGATGGCCTGCTTGAGCATTGCTGGAGCAATGAGAGCAGCTCCAATAGCTGCAATTTAGGTCCTCGTTGGACTTCTCCCACTGCAGTGATCAATGGAAACGTAAATCTGACTGTTCTGGACATACATACATGACAGGGCATGAAAATGAACCCAACCTACAGATTGGGACTGACAGAATGATACTGAGACCTGTATATAATAAACCCTTTGTAGTCAGATTCCCTGACAGAAGTGAATGGAAAGACAGGTTTCAACATGATAGGAAGGGAGGACTAATCTGGTACAGAGATGTCCTCAAGATAAATAAAGGTACTGGGGCTGGGGGTGTATGGTTATGGCACAGGACAGAAGCTTAGCTTCAGCCTTGAGCAATACACCACAGTATTCCAGGCAGAAGTGTATGCCATCAAGGCATGTGCAATTGAGAATCTGCATAGAAACTATAGAAGCAGAAACACTATATATTTTATCAGATAGTCAAGCTGCAATTAAAGCACTTGACAATTACCAGATTAACTCAAAACTGGTTTGGGACTGCCGTCAGTCTCTTGTGCAAGTAGCTGAATCATGAGGGTGTTGTTGGAAATGGAACTGCCAACCAACTGGCAGAATTTGGATCTGAATGTTCATTTATTGGACCTAAACCAGCTGTAGAATCTCAGTAGAAGTTGCCAAGAAAACTGTCAGGGACTGGACAAACAGAGACCACAAAAAATACTGAGAATCCATAACAAGCAAAGGGATTCATACAGGGACCCTCTGCTAGAAGAACTGAGGAGTTTAAACAGAAACCAATCACGGTGAGTGGTAGGACTACTTACAGGACACTGTCACCTAAAAGGATACCTTTTCAAAATGGTGCCTAGAAAGAGATGAAACAGCTACACGCATCCTGTGTGTGAGGCCATACCTTATTTAAGATTTCATCACCTGGGCCACTTTTATGAAATCGGACAACTATCATGTTGCCCCTAATAACTGAATCCTGCACTTCTTTTGAAGTGTAGGACTGTTGAAGGATTAAAACACAAGAGTATGCACAACAGATCATTGAGGGTTATGGTGCAATGGCAAGCGATTGGACCTGCTCCTTGTGTGTGTGTGTGTGTGTGTGTCCTAAAAATCCATTACTGTTGTCATTGTTATATTATTTTTGTGAAGAACTTGTTACTTATATACAAATCAGTCCTACATTATATTTGTCAGATATAACCTCACAGGTTCTCACCCTCAGCATAATTGTAATTACTGAATTTTTTTTTCTTGGTACTACAGCCCCAGTGGGCCTAGGCCTACCTCCATGAACTCCATTCACTTCGGTTTTTCTAGATCTTACACATACGGTAGGACTCCTTGGGCGAGTGATCAGCTTGTCGCAAGGCCTCTACCTGTAGACAAACACAGAAAAATGCACACAAACATCCATGCCTGAGTGGGATTCGAACCCACGATCCCGGCTTCCGAGCAAAGACAGTGGATGCCTTAGACCGCTCGGCTACCGTGACCGGCAATTACTGACTTACCAAGTACAATATTTTGTACGTAATATTTGTGATCTATCTTCATGCGAAATTTCGCATGCCCAGCCGCAATGGTTCATTAATTATCACCATCAAACTAATAGGTAAAGAAGATTGCCACATGGTTTCTTGTGTTATTTTTTTACAGCTAACAAATATTGCATATTTAAAAAAAAAATCTTATCATATCACATTTTGGGATCTTAAATTGAGTAGCACTAGTGTGGCTCTCACTTCACAAGTTCACACAGCAATCATTTTGTTAGTACTGATTGCAGGAAATGAAAACTGTAATGATGTGACCTCCAGTGACAAAGTGATCATTCAGAGTTCTGTGAAAATTGAACAACTGATTCAGATGTTGAAATGGAGTGATACAGAGATACACACAGATAGACTACTATTTTTGACAACTTTCAAGAAAATTAAAAGATACAGTGCATAGAACACTTGAATTCATTGTTTTGTAAGGTCACAAAATGCCATCTCTCATTCTAAAGCAAGAACAAATATCTGAAGTATTTGAAAACAAAGTGCTGAGGCAAATATTTGGTTGCATGAGCATTGAACCAATACAGAATGGGTTCGTTTTCGTAACAAGGTGCTGCCTAGTTTGTACTCTGCCCAGACTGTTATTAAATGAAGGAACTTGAAAAGAGGAGGCATACCTTGACTCTGAAGAAATGTAAGAAAGATCTAATGAAATGAAAAAGGGCTGTTATATGTATAGTGAGTGTACTGTGTGAGCAACCAGTTTGAGGCTCATTCTTGAGAAGCTGCTGCACGAGTATGGTCCTAGAAATTATATGAAGAATGCAACATATAAAAGAGCCACATATTTATCATAGATATTGAAAGTGTGAATGCTGCAGGTACCAAAATATTTTTTTTTGCTTTGTGGCACAGTAAGTTAATTCCTTTAACTCTTTTTGTGTAACTAAACACACTTAAGGACTCTGCAACTTGGCCATTATTTATGTAACTGAAACTTTTATTAATAATGTGCAATGTTAAATAGCAGCTAAAACACTAGCCATGTCTGAGAAGCAAAATTCTAAACAGAAATGAAGAATACTTGTTTAACCATTTTTCTTACTACTCATAATAAAACAGATAAGATTAAAATTTGCCTATGCCCCATCCTTGAAGCTTTTGATAAATAATATGGTAAGTCCAACCTATAGAAGGAGAAAAGGTTGAAGCAAAGGTGTCATTTTTCATTGTTTGACACCTGTTTTCTTCCTAGTAACAGGTACCCAGGACACTTCTTTGCTTACGTTTTGCATGATGGACTGATAAATGTAATCCTGTTGATTTTAATATCAAACTGTTCAGTATGCTTAACTTGTACCTGTCAATTTATCCACTGTTTTTCCATGTTGTGCCTCAGTGGAGAGCAAGAATTGCTTTTTCTGGAATGTGCAGTGCAAATATATACATTGTTTTGAATTTGCATGCACATTGAGAACATATGGATTCTGCACCCTGAGATCCACAGTTACTGAGGGCAGGCCAGTAATTGCATATGAAAGGAGCGTTCCTGCTTCCAGAATACCATTATAGCATGTCTTTTTGTGACAATGCTTTTATATTTTACTACTAAAGTTATCTCATCTTTTTTGTGTTTACTGGAGGAGAAGGTGACTGAGGCTTTGATGATTGTTATCGGAGGCTGTTGTTCCCCTA